ATTAATTTTTATTTTTTTAATATAAATGTATGAAATATATATATTTAATATAAAAACACAAATTAGATAAACCTTTTTTTTTAAAACGTTAACCTAGAGATGATATTTCTGGAGTTGGGACGGCAAAATTTTTTGAGATTATCATCATCCTTTTTTTTTTAAGTGGTGCTATTAGAACAATTTTTTTATTTTATCTTTTTATATAACTTTTACATGTTATTAAATGAGTAAATGCATTACACATCATAGGTCCCACATGAATTAAAAAAAATCAATCATTTTAATGATATGTTAGGTTATACAAAAAAATAAAATAAAATGATTATTCCAATATCATTTTCTTTTTTTCCTAATTTATTAGACTTTTAACAAACTGTTGTTAAACAGCGTTGCTGACCATTTCTGTGCTCAAAAACCGCAGGTATTATTTAACAACAACGGCTCCGAATTCTTTGCAATATTGAAATTAAACAAACGTTTCATGCACCAAAATAAAAGTAAAATCCAAATAGAAGATGACAGGATAGATGCATATGCAAACAAATATGTCTACATAACTGGGAAGCAGGAGTGTACGTACCGTTTTCTTAAGCATCTTGGATATTTTCATAGACAATTTTTTTCCTTTTTTCTCAACCTTAGCATTCATCTTCTCCCTGACGAATTCTTTTGTAGGGAAGTGAAAATGAGTTAATTATTACTTCTAGTCTATTTTACTAGTTATACTTTTCTTTGACATGACTATACAGAAAATTATAAAATTTATAAAAAAATATTATTATTAATTAAAATTTTATAGTTACCTTTATTAACGAGGATGTTGGAAAGTTAGAATGTGTTCTTTTTAAAAATAGAGTTTTTTTTTTTTTGAAAATTGGTAATGAAAAAAAAATAGAGTAATTATTAATAGTAGTAAAAGTTAAAAAGAAAACTTTAATGTTATGTTAAAAATGGTAAGGTCAAACTTTCTATTTGTATTTTGAGCAATGCTATGAGAATAATTTTTTTACATTATTTTTTGATATAATTTTTATATGTAAATAAATGAGTGAATATATCTAATATCACGAATCTCACATAAATTAAAAAAACTAATCATATCATTTAAATGATATGTTAAGTTGTCTCAAAAAATAGTACAAAAAGATTGTTCTAGAATCATTTCCCTTATATTTTAGATACTTATGATCAACTTCTTTTAGAATTTTCATTTTGGTCAACACAATTTAAAATTTTTACTCTCAATTAATAGCTTTCATAATTTAAATCTCATAAAAAAACCTAAAATTAATGACTAAATCACGTGCAAATTAAGATGTAATTTGGGGTTTAATCATTAAATTTTTAAAAGTATTAATTAAAAATAAAAAATTTAAAAAATATTGACCCACAAAAAACATTAGTCTAATTTCAACTCTTTTTTTTTTTTTCTAATCTCTTTTGCCAACCTAATTGAAGATGATCATGCAAGTACAAAAACTAAAAAAACAAAAAGAATATTGGGAACAACAAATAACACAACTGGAAGAATTGAGAAAGCCGGGAAGTAGTAGAAGTGAATGCAAAGATACAGCTTGCAGCCTCGAAGGAAAAATCGAAGGTGGGGAAGAGAGCAAGAGGCAAGTGGCAAAGCCCAAGCACCAAGGTATTGTGCTACGAGCCGTACTAATGTTTTCCCAAAAACAGGGTCCCCATCTCCAAACCTGTTTTATCTTTGGATATGTGGAACAGAACATTAAAAATAGGTGCTATCTACACGCAAAAACAGGGTCCCCCATCTCCAAACCCCATCTCCAAACCTCTATCATTTCTCTTTTCAACATTCACTTTAACTAATATTTTTATATATAATACATTTAAATAAGAGTTAAAATTAATTTATACCTAAATTTTATATATCATATTTAAATAAAATTTTAATTATTATTTTTTTTATTTTTAATGATTTTAATTTGTTTACTTTTTATTATATTTATTAAAAATAATTATTATTTTCATATAAAAAATCATAATAAATGTCAATTATTAAAAATAAAAAAATAAATTATCAAGATTTTATGTAAAAGTCATATGTAAGACTTGTGTATAAATGAATTTTTGCTTTTCTAATAAATAACTATCTATAATATTAAAAAATGTAAATCATATAATAATATATTAAGTTTATATGATTATAATAACATATGGTATTATAATTATATTATTTTGATGCATCAACAATAATTATAAAATAAATTTAAAAAAGAGATCATTAAAAAAAATTTTAAACTTGAAAAAAAAAAAACTCTAAAACTACCATGTCATTTCAATAAATAAGGAACTTATTTAGGGCATGATTCAGGTTGGGAGTATGTTTGGGTTGTGATTATATTTATAATAATAATAATTATTATTATTTTGTACAAAGGGAATTGGGGTTAAGGGTAAGGGAAAGGGAAAATGGGAGCCGAAGGAATTGAACCCAATGATATAGATGAAAAATTATACAGTAATCATACGGATCATGTATTAAGTTTCACAATTAAATTTATTAGGATTATACAAATTATGAAATTTTCATTTGAATTTAACAAAGCTGCAGCAAGTGCTAAGTGGGGGTAGGCGTTGGACCACTGCTTAGGCAGGCAGTGCTTAGGTGCTATCTACACGCAATTAAGAGCTGCATGAGGTTTGATCTCCACCACCTAGGGCCTAGGCAACACAATAGAGTACTGCCTGTTGCTTAAGCAGCATTTAAGCCCACCAAGACGATATTTTTGCAACACTAAAATTTAATTATTAAAAAGAATTAATAATTAATAAAATAATTAATATTTATTATTTAATAAATTAAAATTAGTTTATAAATAAATATTTTAAAAATATAATAATTAATTAAAAAATTATAAATTAATAAAAATACTACTATTATAGCCCTAATAAAATTATGTGTATATCAATAATTTAAATTCAAGTAAGAATAATTTATTTTTTTAAATAAAATTTTAAATTTAAATTTTATAACAAACCTAACAAACGTTAAAAAAAAATTTCATATAAAATTTGATGTGATTTAATTATAAAGTAATTAAATTTAATATAAACATTAAATGTCAAAAAATTAATAAAAAAATAAAATAAAGTTCCGTGTGTCATACCTATGTTTGCTATCAAACAATTCTCTGGAGGAATCATCTCTTTCTTTCGCAATCATATGGTACAATTACAAATGTCAACGAAAAAAAAAGCTGGAAAAGGACGCACGCCTCTGCCTCCGCCACAAGAGAATTTTCACATAACAGGATAATCTTTTGGGCAACAGG